TACGACCCTGCTGAATAGCATCCTCCTCTGTTTTGCACATACTTTTACGATTTTGAATGCGTTCAAGCAAAAAAAAAAAAAAATAATAAAACCACCCCAAATTTCAACCCGGCGCTCAAATAATGCGGCCGCGAAGCGAAGCTGCTGCACAGAAGGAGCAAAATTCTGACTTCAGAAGACCAATAAAAATAATTGGGCTCGGAATCCAGGCCAGTAGTTTCTGGGGTTTATGTATTTTTGCGATTCCAGCTTAAACTGATAGTTGTTTTTTTTTTTTTTTCCCCTGAAAATTATATCCAGAAGGAAGAGTCCTGATGGCAGAAACTTCTGACTGTGCTTGGTAATGTCCCTCCCTCGTGTTCTCCTTCCAGCTACACCTTCTCTGGCTCTGTGGAGGCTGAAAACCATCACAAAACTGACTCATGGCTCTAATCCTGAGAGATAGTAGGAAATACATAGGTAGCCTTAATTTCCAGCCCTTTCCAAGAGTCAGTTTTTAAACTGAAAAACAAAGCTCCAGGTCTCAGCTCGAGATTGAGATCTCCTGCAGCAAGCCAAGGCACCTCTCCATTAGCTACTATTATGATAACCTATTAATAATCATTTTCAGCTGGAAAACATGTTTATTTGTTGGGGTTTTTGGAATGTTACGTCCCCGCAAAGCATAGATAGTGACCGGGATTAGTGATTCCATGAGGAAAATATGTCGTGCTCACCAAGCCATGGAGCTTTCCCTCTCCAAAATAACTATTTATTTTTAATTTTTTTACCCAGCGAACTTCTACGGTGTCAGGCTTTTTTTGCATGGGATGTGTTTCATCACAGCAACCTAAACCAGTTCATTGTACACTAAGAAAACAGGATACGTTGCAGCAGCAGCAGCATTTTGAAGCTTGGGGTGTTTATGAATGGAGGGCGAAAAATAGAGATTAATTTTGGTTTAACCAGGTAATCAGGAAAAAGTGGGGGGAGAGACTGAGATTGGGTCAAGCTTTAAAAACGACATTTTTCTTTCAGAGATCACCTCCAAGCCAGACAGGCAGGTTTGCCCAGTAGCATTCTCAAAACAGGGTGAGGAATAGTCACCCTGGAGCCCAGCCAAGCCCAGTGTAAATCTGTTTTGTTCAGGAAAAGGAGCCAAATTGCCTTTGTACAACATCTCCAGGTTTCGGGCGACCTGTGACAATCTCAGCTCCCGTTCTGGGGATCAGGAAAAATCAAGGGCTTTGGGTTTTGTTAATTCTAAACAGCGACAACGGGTTGAGAAACACGAGGCAACCACTTGAAACGATGCTGAAACTCAGTTTGGGGCTTTTAAGTTTTGGCTGGTGCCAAATATGGGTTGGGAGAAATAAATCCCCCTGCTCTGGGGGACTTGCTGTGACCCTCCCACATCCAGGAGAAAAACATGGATGATGTCTTAATGTCTGATGCAGGCTGCCTTGCTGGATTGAAGGCCCACAGAAGGAAATTTAAACTGGTTATTAAGAGTGTCAAGAATGAGAGTTTCCTGCTCAGAAGGGAGGGAGCTGTTGGCTCTGATGGGATTTTCATGGGACTGTGGGGTGATATCCATGAAGAGGGAACTGTCACCACTCCAAGCCATTCCTTGTTCTCCACCAGGTGATTTTAAATTTAATTCTAAACAGCAACATGGGCTGAGCAACACGGGGCAACCACACAAAACGATGCTGAAACTCAGTTTGGGGGCTTTTAAAGTTTTGGCTGGTGCCAAATAGGAGTTGGGAGAAATAAATCCTCCTGCTCTGGGGGACTTGCTGTGACCCTCCCACATCCAGGAGGAAAACGTGGGTGATGTCTTAATGTCTGACACAGGCTGCCTTGCTGGATTGAAGGCCCACAGATGGAAATTTAAACTGGTTATTAAGAGTGTCAAGAATGAGAGTTTCCTGCTCAGAAGGGAGGGAGTTGTTGGCTCTGATGGGATTTTCATGGGACTGTGGGGTGATATCCATGAAGAGGGAACTGTCACCACTCCAAGCCACTCCTTGTTCTCCACCAGGTGATTTTAAATTTAATTCTAAACAGCAACATGGGCTGAGCAACACGGGGCAACCACACGAAACGATGCTGAAACTCAGTTTGGGGGCTTTTAAAGTTTTGGCTGGTGCCAAATATGGGTTGGGAGAAATAAATCCCCCTGCTTTTGGGGGCTTGCTGTGACCCTCCCTCATCCAGGAGGAAAATGTGGATGATGTCTTAATGTCTGACACAGGCTGCCTTGCTGGATTTCATTGAAGGCCCACAGAAGGAAATTTAAACTGGTTATTAAGTGTCAAGAATGAGAGTTTCCTGCTCAGAAGGGAGGGAGAGGTTGGCTCTGATGGGATTTTAACGGGGCTGGGGGTTGATATCCATGAAGAAGGAACTGTCACCACTCCAAGCCATTCCTTGCACTCCACCAGGGATTTAAAATCACCTGGTGGACACCAGAAGCCTCCACTCTGCCCACAACCAACGTGAACTCTCAGCCACTGCTCACACAACGCTCCTGGCATCGCATTATCACTGGTGGCAGCTGAACTTGTTCGAGCTCAAATATTACACGGCAAACAAAGTTTGGGTTAATTTTCCTCCAGCCAGGTATCAAAGGAAGCAATGCCCTTTGAAGCAGCCACCTTCTGCTTTAGGCTTTATACAAATTCAACAGAACAGCACCTCAGAAATCCCGTATGAGTGCAAACAATCCCCACCTTTGGAAAACAATCCCCTGTTCAGGAGTAAACAAAAGCATACATTAGTCACTGCTCCAGAGATGGGCGGCCAGTGCAGGTGATGAGATTTAACCTCCAAGCCTGACTAATACCACGCAGCATTCCCAGCTCACTCCACTGCTTAAAGGCTCCTGAGCCCCTGGATATCACACCACAGGCAAGGTTTATGTCCTGGGGGAGAGTGACCAGCTACTGGCAACCACTCCCAGCAGGGGAAGGGGCTCCACGATGCTCCCTGCCAGGCTTTGCTGCATGAATAGGGCCTGTTTTCTCTCAGCTGCTGGATTTTGACCTTGAGACTCACACAGTTCACTGTTATGATTTCTAGCTTCATTACCATGGCCAGGAACTGAACTACAGGTTTGTTTTTATTAGCTTCTCCGCCACTCTGCCAGCTATTCATTTGAATCTTCTAAACAGTCATCTCTGAATCATAATGCAAATTCCATTTACTGAAAAGGTGGTACCTTTAATATAACAAATGAACACGTTTAATGACTGATACTTTCAGACATTACAGCATCCCTCATGTTTTCAGTAAATGGATATAATTTTCTCTGCATTACCCTATTATTATTCTTTGCTAGCATTATGAAGCGACATTCTCAGCTGCGGGTGTTTTCCACCGAGTGCATTTGAAGACGGCCCAAACAACACAATTTGAGAGACATCTGCCTCTGTATCCTCAGCTAAAAATGCTGCAGGAGAGGCAGAGGAGCTGGGTTGATGTTTTATTCCTGTAAAGTATTTACTGCCTGCACGATGTTCCGGCAGGGCCACGCTCTGCCACCGTTGCGACCGTATTTACATTGGAAGGGGATCTCCAGATGCATTTCACTTCAAAGGGAAATAAAGGCTGTGGTGTATAATCAGCATCACTTCCTCGGTCTGAAGAAGCCTGACCCATCTCCCACGGGGAGCAAAACACTTGGGGAGTGAGCAAAGCAGAAGTGGGTCACCTTTGTAACTCTCCCGAAGGGCCACGCGGGCAACCGCACACCGGGCGCCGGGTCGGGTGCTCACACGGGGAGAGAGGGAAGGGAAAACAGTAAGAAGGGATCAGCAATCCCTGAGCATTCCATGTGGTTCTGAGAGACACAGGTTGCTCTGAAAGGAAACCTGCTGAAGTGCAGCAGCCGCTGTCACTTGGAATCGTGAGCGTTACGGCAGCGAATGGTCCCGAAATAACACCACAGTGTTTGGAACACCACGAAAACCTGCCAGTTTTACTTAAAGCCAGACATAAGTAAACATCACATGAAGTCACACGGGAGATGTGATGGTTTTTCATCCCTGACCTTAAGGGAGAGAGAGGCTGATCTTTCTTCTGAGCTCTCTCTGAGCAACAACAACTCGCCGGCTTCTCTTCCGCGGGTCTGACTGAACCTCCCCAAATTCCCATTAAGGGAATCACTTAAAATAAACTAATAGGACAGCAAACATGGAATTTATGGGGTTTAAGATTATGGCTTGGAGCCAAGGGGTGAAGCTGCAAAGGGTCTTTATGTTGGGGGTTTTTTTTGGGTCAAGCTCTGTGCACCTGCCCACCCACGGGTGGCATGAGCTGCACGCGTCGGGTTCTATTTGCAGCTTCCAGAAGACATTTTTAAGTAGTCCCAGCCCAAGTCAAGTCCAAATCCTGTTTGTTATTGATGCTCCAAAGGCCTTTTTATTTACATACTGGTTATGGCAGAGATAGAGCCAGTCAGGTATCAAACCCCTCTGTTCTGTCTGCTCTCTCCCATCCGCTTTGCAGCAGACATTAACTAACAGGACTGGTGCATCCTGAGGGGAAAACAGGCTGGAAAACATCCCCTGTGCCTTCAGCAGGTCAGGATGAGCCTGCAGAATTTTCAGATCTATGCAGGAAATATTTGTACTATGCAGGGAATATCGAGAGAGACTCACTCTGCTGCAGAAACTAGAAGGGGAACCCCATCACAAGTCCCCACGCAAGCCGAAAATTCTCATTTTAAACTCAAAACACTCCACTTGAGCTTAACCATGGGTAACACCACGCTGCTCTAAACTACCAGGGGCATCTCCTGGAGTCAAAACATCACTTGCTGCGAGGTTTTGATTTTTTTTTTGGTGGTTTTTTTTTTCCCAACCGAGATTTCGCCATTCGAAACCGCGAAGCGACGCCGGGGACGGGCGACGGCGAAACGAGGAAAACCACCCTTCGGAAGCGGCCCCGCGAGCCCACCCCAGGAATTTGCCACGACCGGGCGAGCAGGGGGGGTGCAGCTGAGAGCAAAGAGGTACCTCTCCCGCTCCTGCCCACGAAGCGGAGGTCGTTGAACCGCGCCACCTGGTTCTTCATGGCGGCCGTGGCGTTGCGCAGCTCCGCCGAGTAGTTCTCGTCGTTCCCGGCCATCACCGTCACCAGCGTCCCGTCAGGAACGTCCCCCAAGGCCACCACCTGCAAAATCAAGGAGCAGACCCCCTCAGCTGGGAAAAAAAAAAACGAGGAAAAAGCAGCAGCAACAGCAAAAAATCTGGGTGGAGAAGTCTAAGAAGTCTAAGAAGTCTAAGAAGTCTAAGTCTAAGAAGCTCTTTTGGGAAGACAGGAATCGCTTCCATTCCTACTTTGCTGCAATGGGAATCTTCTTCTTCCCCAAAACCTTGTCCACTTTGTTATTCTTTAATCAAATTAAATGTTTTTTTTGCAATTTTGATATAGAGTTTTAACTTAGAGCAGACAAGTTACGTGTGGGTTCACTGCTGAGTGGTATCACTAGTGCTGGTTGTTGACCTCTTACTGCACCAAAATGCTTCCCAACTCTTTCCCACTGTCCTTCCCCATGTTTCCTGAATTTCCTGAAGGACCTAAGAGACTGATTTTTGGTTTTATGTATCATTGCATCTATGATATTACCACAATAATAATGTATAAGGTGCATCTTTTTTACTCCTCGTTGTGGATTTCCCACTGTTTCAAACCCTGTTTTTCTTAACAACTGGACTGGAAAGTTTTGCACTGATGTGCCTCTGAAATACCCAGTGAGATGTGTACTCTGAGATGAAAAATACGTGAAATCAGCTTTCCAAAACATACATCTGTAATTTTCAGTCCATAAATCCCATGAACAGGACCTGCTGCCGGTCTCGTTTACAGCAGCAGCTCTTAACAGAGCTGCCCCAGCATAAATTCTGGATAAATCCATGGAAAATCGGGCCTCAATCAGGTGTTTAATCTCAAATTAATGAACAACTTCTTTTTTTCCCCTTTAAAAGCAAATAATTGACTTCAGGCCTCACCTGATGGGTGGAAATCACGACCTGAACTAAGGAAATCTGCCCTGGCTCAGCCAAAGGCTTTACCTGGAGCTTCTTGGTGCCAGCATCAAACAAACATTTAGGAGCATGAGATTCACTGCATTTTTGGTGCAATGACCTGAGAGACCTAAAGATTTCTAATCTTAAATGTTCTGACTTGTATCTACACTGTTCACACTGATCAAACCATGAAAAATTTGATTTTTACTGCAATTTCTTGAGCAGGATGGAATCCTCTGAGCAGTTTTACCCTGCTACAATCAAATGGATATTTGGGGTGTTTCTCCATTCACTCTGGCAAAAATAAGAGCTTGGGTTTGGTCCCCTATATCTTGTTTTTACATCCCATTGCTGTTCCCCCAATTAAGTCTACACGACTCTTACCACAAATAATAATAATAAAAAAAAAGATAAAAAAAATCCAGCTAGTTTTTAATTCCTCTTTTGCACATTCTAAGAGGAAGCAGCCCTTCATCGTGCCCTCTGAGCTGCAGCTTGATATTTTTCCTTCCTCTTAAGAATTTTCTAGCTCATATCCAGGCAGTCAGAATCGGTTGAAGCTCGTCACGGCCTGGTTTTATTTCTCTCGGTTTCTAATCACATTTGTCCTTCCCAAACGGGATCAGCAGCTCCTTTGCTTGATCAATCCCTGCTTTTTAATTCCACAGCCACTTCCCAAGATTTGGGAGAAGCCTCCAGTCTCAGGTATTTCCCAGCCTTTCCCTCCACGGGAGGCCGAGTTTCTCACTTCTGTGCTCTCCCTTTTGTCACCAATAACCCTTATTTTCACTTCCACATGCAAACTTCAGATCACTGGGTCAAAATTCCCTCTTTACGTCTCCATTTCAACTTCCTCTTCCCCGTTCCTCCCTGGCCCAGCCTGTTGGGTTTTTTGTTCTCTGAGTTCCAGGACGTGTTCCTGGGGCCTGTGCTCTGCTCAGTGTTCCAAATTTCCCTGATCTTGGCCTAAATTAGTCCCTGCTCAAAATGCTTGAGCTCAGAATCTTCTCCTTGCACAGTCTCACAATCAACTTCCAACCCAAGGCACCCAGTTCTTAAAAAAAACACCTTGAAAAACCTTAATGCAAGCACTTGTATTCCAGACACGAGAAAGGCCAAAAAGGGGAAAAATCAGGGCATTTCCCCGCGATGCAAATGTTTGCACGTTCATTTAAGGAAATGCATTCGGGGATTTTTAAGGGTTCACAAAAGATTTTTGTGAATCCGGGAGCAGTTGGCTCTTACAGAGCAAATATTTTAAAGCTCCGTTTCCAAATCTCACCTCGATGAAAAAAAAAATCAGAAACAAGTATAAAGCTGACACGGCCCAGAAAAGAAATTGGAGTTAAAAGTCACAGACAATAGAAACAGAAATACAAACATTTACATTAGAAAACAGACTAAACAGATAAGCTGAGACTTGCTGACTGGAGTTATCAAGGACTTTGTTGCACTCTTTACCCCTTAAAAATATGTGTTTCCAGAGAAGCAAGAAGAGTATCAGCATTGCAGGTCTGTCGGGTATCTAAATTACCTACTTCTCCCGCATCAGTCAAAACAAATTGGCCTTTTAAATTAAGATTTAGATTCTTTCTTAACAGCAGTTGGACATTGAATTTCTATAGCAACTTGTTAGCTATTATATAATAATTTTTAAGTTTCTTAGAATCATTCTTTAATTTAGGAAAAAAAAAAAAAAGCCTGGAAATTTTAATTTTGCTTTGAAACAGTCTCCTGATCAAACACCACAAATGAATTTTTCTAAGGAAACGTGAAGAGAAAACTCTCCATCTCTCTATTTTTGTTCATGCAATGGTTGTTAACAAACACTTGATAAAACTCAGCGCTTTGTTGTCAGATGCTAAGGAAGCACCTGACCCGAATTTTTTAGTTCCTGGCCCAAATCATCTGAAAAAAAAACCACCCCACGACTTTTAAAAAACGCCTTTGCGAATATTCAGTATTTCGTATGAACCCAACAAGCTGATTTTTACACGTGGCAAATTATTCCAGGATTCATTTCTGGGCAATCCACGGGGAGAGAATTTCGGGGAGAGGTGAAGACGAGGAGCAGGTGCCTCCCAGCCCACCATTCCAGGGGCTCATAAGGAAACCTTTTCCCGGTTTTTTGGGGGGTGTTTTGATTTGTTATTTGAATTATCCCGGTGTTACAAACTCCTGGAGAAGTTGCCGGCGAACGCGGTGGGGGCCGCGGGTGGGGGGAGCGGTGTTGGACATCTCTCGAACCCCCCGGCTTTGCTTCCCACAATTTCCACATAACCAGACAGTTCCTGCCTTCAAAAGCTCCCATTCCAGAGGAGAATCCCCAAAATCGCTGCCGGTTCGGCCGGACAGGAACGGGAAGAGCCACATCTCCTGTCCCTTCTCCATCGCGGTCCCCGCCGGGAGATGCTCGGGGCTGGGACAGGGACACGCGTGGCCCCGCGGGGACCTTCCACGGTGGCCTTTGACCACAGGGATCCCCCAGGAAAAAAAAGGAACACCGGGGACTCCTCTTATCTCCCTTCCCGGCGGGGCGGAGCGGCTTTTCACTGCCTTCCAGGAGCTGAACTTCCCGAGTAATTAGCAGGAGCCGCCGAGTGCGTGGGTAACAGTGTAATAATTAATCTAAATGTGGGAATTTAGGAAGTGACCCTGCCGATTAGTTCCTCCCATTTTTCCTCAGACTCCTATCTGCGTAAAACAAGAAGACCAGACATAATAAAACTTTGCCCCGAAGCCGCCTCGTCAGCGGGATTTCCCAAAGCTGATTCCCTTCTCCCTCGTCTCTCCTCTCCCAAAAACCCATCGGAAAAGACTCGAGTCTGGTGGCCTTGAAAAAAACAAAGTTGTAGCGAGGCGGTCGGGGTTTGGGAGTGACCGCAAAAGAAAGCGCGAACCTGACAAATCCCGATCCTAAATCTAACCCCGGGGCTCCTCGGGAGCTGCGTGTCTGTGCGGCTCCCGTCTCGGATAAAAGGATAACGAGAATAATTACCTTTTCCTTTCCTTGCTCGGGAGCGTATATCTGCACCAGGAGCAAAGAAAAGCAGCGCGTTCAAGAAGTCAGCGACAGACCCGAGTTAAAAAAAAGAGCGTGACCGAGGGGAGGATAATTTTACTCCGAGGGGAGGATAATTTTACTTCGAGGGGAGGATAATTTTAGTCGAACCCCGGTAACGGGAAGGCTGGAAAGCGCAACGAGCACCCGGGAGGCACCGCTAGGCAGGGTCCCGGCGGCCCGTGACAGGAGGGAGCCGGGATACCCTCTCCCCTTCCCTCCTCCCCATCTTTTCTCCTTGGATTTAGCGAGGAACTCTGGAAACCGGAGAACCCCGAGCGGCCGCAGGGTCTGCCCAAGGTTAGGCCTCGGTTTTTACTATTATTAAAAACAGCCAATTAAAAAAAAAAAAAAAAGAAAAAGAAAAAAAGGAAATATGCGTTTTGGACTGTTGGTGGGTTGTTTTGATATTCTTTTCCCCCCTGAAGAGCCCCTGGCTGGGGAAACGCGGCGCCTCCCGAGCGGGGCCCGCGGAGGAGGGCGGGTGTCCCCCGTGGGGGGCAGAGGGACCCGCCACCGCCGTGGGCGACTTCTGGGCGAGCCCGGGGCTCCTTCAGTTCCGGGGGCTCCTTCAGCTCCCAGCCGCCTGCATCCGTCTGCAGCGGGGCTGCGGCATCTGGTCCCCAGGGCAGCCAAACTCCTCGGCTCTGACTTTTTTTTTTTTTTCCCTTTTTTTTTTTTTCCCTCTCCCTTGAGCAGAGCCGGAGTTATGAATGGGGAGAGCGGGCAGGCAGCGGCTGGAGAGAGAGAGAGCCTTCCCAGCCCATCGCATTCCTCAGCTGCCAGCGCTCGCTCCTGCCCGCAGCCCGGGCGGGAGAGGGAGGATGGAGAGAGGGGATGGATGGGTGGAAGGATGGAAGGAAAGCTGGAAGGAAAGCTGGAAGGAAAGGTGGAAGGAAAGGTGGAAGGAAAGGTGGAAGGAAAGCTGGAAGGAAATGTGGAAGGAAAGGTGGAAGGAAGGATGAAAGGAAGGATGAGAGAAAGGGTGGAAGGAGCCACAGCCAGACCACCGGAGCGAGCCGTCCCCGCCCGGCCGCGGCTCCCAGCGCCCCGTACCCCCCATCCTCGGGACTCACACGCTGCCCCCCACCCCTCCATCCCTCCCCTCCCCACCCCTACCCCCCGCCGCGCGTTTTTTGGGGGGCTCGGGCGGCACCTACCTTGAAGGCGATGGGCAGCGTCTTGTTGCAGCGCCAGTGGGTGGGCAGCACGGAGCAGAGGAAGTTGGGGCTGTCGGTGCGCACCAGCTCCCCGGGGTGGTCGGCCAGGACCTCCACCATGCTGCGGTCGGCGCCGCGCAGCTTCCCCGGCAAAGCCCCGCCGTGCTCGGCGCCGGGCAGCGCCAGCGGCTCGCTCATCTTCCCCGGGCTCAGCGTGGTGGAGGGCGGCGTGAAGCGGCGGCTGGTGCTGGTATCTACGGGGATACGCATCACAACAAGCCTTTTGAGTGAGGGACCTCCACGGAGTTCTTACAGAACGGCGAGGCGAGCGTAACTCTTCGGCGAGCCGCTCTCTGGGGACCAACATAAACGGATGCGGGGCCGAGGACCCGCGGGAAACTCGTTTCTACGCCAGTCCCCGAAGTTAATTTTTTTTTTTTTTTTTTTTTTTTGCCGAGATATAGAGACTTAACTCTTGGCTTCCTGGCGCGGCGGAACAAACACGTTAATCCGATAAACCCAAGGGGCGTCCGTGCGGGGCTTTACCGAGCATCGAGTCCGCGGCCGGGCCACGAAAAGTTCTCGGGGAGAAAGCTCATTCCAAACTCCCGAGGGGAAAAAAAAAAAAAAAAGAAAAATAAAAGAAGAAGAAGGGAGGCGACCAAGTAACAAGAAACACGCGCAAAGCCTGGGCTTCCCTGTCAGCCGCCTATCAGTTCCTTCCAGGTGATTTCTCTACAGTCCCAAGAGAAAATAAACCACACCGGCGTCTTCCGCGGGCAAAAAAATGGCTCTTTTAGAGAGGGAAATTCGGGGTTGTCTTCAGAGAAGGCGGTACGAGAGCGAGACTTTGTGATCAAAGGTCAGCTGGCTACAACTGTGTATATATATATATTCACGTCCACACACGCACCACACACACATATACCGGACTTCATAAAATATTTACAATATAATCTGTAGAGAATTTAAACACAACAGGAATCCATTAATGTTCTCTGCGAGTTTTTTTTTTTTTTTTTAAGCAGCCTTGAAAATGAGCTTCAGTAGTTTGGTTCGCGTCTCTCTAAGAGTAGTCGTGTCATGACCTCTCAATTATTCTTGCGCAAAAAAAAAGGAAAAAAAAAAAGAAAAGCGAAAAAAGAAAAGCTCAGGGCATTGCATTCAAGCTTCAAACCTCTATCTTTGGTGTAACGCCTTTCATCAGCTTAAAGAAAGGTCGCAGCCGATCGCAGGCTCTGAGGCTAAAAGGTCCACAGCTGAAAACTTGGGTTTGGGGATGTTGGTTAAATTGTGGGTTCTCTCTGTGGTTTTGTGTGTGCAACAGCGCTCTCTCTCTCCCACTCACGTCCTCCTCAGCAGTCAAACCAACAGTCTGCAACAACTTCGGCACTCATTGCCAATTCTCTCTCTCTCTCTCTGTTTTTTTTTTTTTAGTATCTGAGACAGTCTTCCTCTAATTCGGCCGCAGGAACCGGCTGCTTAACAATATTTGAACCGCAGCAGGTGGAAGCCAGCTCTCGGAAACATGGCTTTTCTCTCGTCCAGCGGGATGGACACCGCCAACCTGCTCCGAAAAACCCACACACACGCACACACAGACACACAGACACACGGAAAACCAAAAGCCGCCAGCCACAGTTAAAAAAAAAAAAAATAAGAAAAAAAAAACCACCCAGCAAAATCACTGCTGTTGAAGGAGCGAAAGCTTTCCTTCCGCAAAGGGAGGCGGCGGAGGAGCCCGACGAGGAGGAGGAGGCAGACGGGAAGCACCGGGCGAAGAAGCAACCCAAGAGTTGCCGGGGGGAAAGAAGATCAGCCCAAAAGTTGCCGGGGGAAGAAGATCAGCCCAAAA